ATGCAATAAATAAATAAATAAATAAATAAATAAATAAATAAATAAATAAATAAATAAATATTATGTACACAGAATCTGTGCTTGGTATAATTACAGATTGCCTAAATATTTATTATGGTCTGCCTAATGGGATCTGCTCACGTAGATCCCCATTTACATCTTGTGCACCCCCAGTTTTTTTCTCTCTGACATGGACCCCCTCCAAGTTGAAATCGACCCCTGGGGGTCCATATAGACCACTTTGGGAACCTATGAGTTAAACCAACTACTGTACAGTGCCATACCCGTTAGATGAATGATAAACATTCTAATTTTCTAGGCTGCAGATGTTAAAATGTTCTTCCTCATACCAAGCCTTTTGTCTCATTTTTAAAGACAAGAAAGACTAAATGTTAGTGTAGTAGTGTCAGATCTATGAAGCAGATTAAGTCATGCTCTAAAGTTTAGGATGTCATAAAAAGAGAAATGTAGATCTGCAAGCTCTTCTTTAAAGTGAGGGATTCCCATAACTACTTCAGTCCACTGTACAAGTTTTCTGCAGCTGTTATATAGAAGCCAGTTTTATGTTTACAGGTTTAGCAGTTTCAGAAATACCACACACTAATAATAAAAGTATCTAAGTCTTATGAGGACAGCTAGTGCATGATACGTAGCAGAAAGCACATCAATAACACAACAATTTAAAATTGTAATCATGCAAAGCAGCTTCATTATGAACAACTCATCAAATGCAGCTTATTGATTTACCATACTGCCCAAAAAATTCTTTGTTGAAGAAGGTTGATACGCCATCACTGATCAGCTGATTTTCATTGTCCTCAAGGCTAATCCCAAAGATTCTGCGGCTTGAGGCAAAGGACAAGATGGTAGCTCTCTTAATTCCCTATGCAGACAAGCAGTCAAATTTTACTTATAAGTACTGGTGATGACACAGAATCCTCCACCACACCTGATATGCACTACCTTGATGTTGCATTGTAGTCTGCTTTAATATACATAGCTGTATTCTCCACCATGTTGCCATCACTCCCCAGATGCCAGGACCTGTCACCTGAGACAGCCATTTCACTCTGGATAATGCCACAATAGGGCTTAGGTCCATAATTGTGGACCTTCCAACACAACCATTATCTCCAAATACTTGTCCACATGAAGATGTGGAAAGACTTGAAACTAGTTCATGGTATTAGAGCCCACCAACAAATTTAACACAGTATGATAACTTGGCTGCAAGAGGTAGCTGCACACTAGGCCCTGGCATAGTCAGAGAACTTAGCAGTTCCTTCTGCTCTGTGTGAAAGCGGCACTCCCTGGTGACATGCAAAATTCCACTTGGAATATTCCACCTACCTCTACAGACTAATTTTCATACATGGATTCTAAGACACTTCTATATTGGAAATTCTTATTCTGCATACTGTCAATTCCAACGTATGGCTACTCTTTCCATAATTTTCTAAGTATATTCAGCAGTGATTTACCATTCCCTTCTTTTGGGAGTGCCTCAGGGACTGTGCAGTTCATCCAAGACTACACAGGCTTCCAAGAGGCACAGTGAGAAACTGAATTCCCATCTTCTAACTCTGCTGCCAGGGTTTCATATACAGTTTAGCAAGTGGTATGAAATCCTCTTTCATACCTAAATGCACATTACTGTTATACTTGTAAATTTCCTGATAGATTACAATTTTCAGAAGACAGCCAGCCTAGCTAACAACAAATTGCCCCAACAGTATCTAGAGATCTATGATGAACATAGGTTATCTACTTTTAAAACTAGCATGCAAAAAACACCTGATATGGCATCATGTGTGCATCCACACCTACACAGTTCAGGCTCCAACAAGGTCTCACCCGAAAATATGCTTTCAATGCAGGGCTTAGTTGGAAATATGTTAAATAAACAAAGTATTTTGAGCATGCTTAGTGCCTGAGGATGGTGGGTCCCTGCAATGACTATAAAGAGAATAAGTAACAACAGCAAACAAGCTTACTGCAAGTACCTGGGCAAGTCAAAAAATTCACTAGACATAACCCTTCCCCTTGCATCTTTTTCTTATTTTTAAGAACTCCTTACAGTCATGGAACAATCCAATTACCATGATCTGTAGTTACAAACGAGTATTCAATCAATTTTACTTTAAACATACATTATGCTTACACTCAAATATATTTAGTAGGAGAAAAATGAAATTTATTCCCATACTCTGATTGCACTATGATTTAAATAAGCTTAAAATGCGAAGACTCAGAGGTACTTTTTAGTCAGCGTTGGAATATAGCTTTTACTTGTTACTGTATGTGTTCAAAATATTGGCATTGTAAAACATGGGGGGGGGGAAGAGAAGAAATGTGTGCTTCACAAAAAAAGTAACACCGGGTAATTGAAGGCGCGGGATAAGGCCATTCGATCCAGAGTCAAAAGGTCTGTAATTCCACCCTGGTCCGAAAAACTCCAACCGGCCCGTGAGAGACGAAGTGGGAGGAAGCCTTTCCTGGGCACAGGCTGCGACCTCGAAGCTCTGCTGATCTGTTCGCTGCTCCTCTTCCTATGCCCGCACACTATTGGCGTCTGATTCATCCATCCTTCTTGGTCTTTCCCCCCGGCCTCNCCCCCCCCCCCCCCCCCCCGGTCTGCTCGCGCATCAGCCCTTCCACCGCCCGTCCCCAGCCTCACCGGCCCCACTTGCCCTCCCACGCCCTTTCTCCCACACAGCTTCCCCGGTGTCTCTCTTCCTCCGCCCCCGCGCGCTCCTTCCGCCGCTTCCCACCTGCGAGCAAGTGCTGGCGCTCCAAGGCAGCCTCTGCCTCCTTCAGCGTCTCTGCCTCCATCTCCGACGACCTCTCCGTCCCCGCGCCTCGAGGTCTCGGGCCTCCTTCCGCCATGGCCCCACCGGGGGGGTCCCGACAGAAACACACACACACACACACACCAACCGGCTCGCCGGCCGGCAAAACCCCGCAGGCCCTCCTCTCGTCAGGCTTCGCCGGCGCCCAGAAGAACCGCGAGACGGGGCGGGATTGGCCGAGGCCCTCCTCCTCCTCGCGCCACCCTCTCGCCTGACATGCGCGGCGCAGCCGCGGAACCACTTCCGCCCGGAGTCTCTCCCCCCCCCCCCCCCCCGCTCGGAGGCTTGGTCCCAGGCTCCCTCCTTCCCGGCGCCTCTGGCTTCGAGGAGGAGCCTGGCGCGCGTTTTACGGCAGAGGCGGTCGAAACCTTGGTTTCTGCTCTGACTGGGTGGAACGAGTACACGTGTTTATTCCACAAGCATCTCTGCTGCGGTGACTCAGAAGGGGAGGGAGACTGGGCGGGGCGACGCGAGGGAACCTCCGCCCGAGTTTGTAACACCCTTTGTGCCATTCTTTGTTTGGGGAGTGACCGCAGAGGAAATAAATGTGGGATCAGGATAGGCTTACGCGTGTTACCAAAAGAGCCCCGCCTTCTGCTTTGGCTCTGGAGGAGTCTGGCCTCTTAAAACTGTGTGGTGCTGGCCGTTGCAGTCCCGAGTTTTGGTCTGTTTCCAAAAACAAGTTAGTGCCCAGTCGGATGCACTCTGCACCTTTAGGCATCTGGTCTTGGGGAGGTTACCAAGTACTTAGAAAAATCCCCCCCCCGCTCCATATTTTGAGTCTTAGATGTAAGATCCATTGTTCTGTTATTTGCTGCAGTTTTAGTACTCTGTTTAATAGATCGTTTAATACTGAAAAAAATTAAGACTGGCAACTATATGGCAATACGTTCTGATAAAATTAGTGGGATTTCTGAACAGAAATTAATATGGCTGTAACTTAAGTCTAGGAACGCTCAGACAAATCAGACATTCAAGCCCTGGGGATGGAGAAAATCTCAGTACAACACAGTAAACAATTTATGAGAGTTTTAGAACCTTTTAGTGATCATGAATTCAATAGGACGAAAGTAGTCAGAAGCAGCTCGATGATACATAAGGGCAACAACAGTCTAAACATGAACACTTAGAAATACAACCCGCTGAGTTCAAAGCCTGAATGGTAGGTTTAAATAAAAAGGATGGAGAAATATGTTTCAAGGATGAAGCAGCAGTATTCCATGGCTCTGACATGACGATTGCTGATCCAGTGCAGCTGAGATTAACCATATTGTTGACCACACCAAATATATTATGGTTCATTCATGGCCAGCAAGAGACACAAAGACAGGAAAGGAGGACTGCCCCCTGCAGCGTCTCCTTCAGTACAGTACTGACAATACAGTGGGGTCTTGACTTGAGAACTTAATCCGTATTGGAAGGCGGTTCTCAAGTCAAAAAGTTCTCAGGTCAAATCTGCATTTCCCATAGGAATGCATTGAGAACCATTTGATCCGTATCTGCTCTTTTCCGTCCATAGAAACTAATGGGAAGCTGCTATTCTGCCTTCGACCACTAGAGGGGGATATTTTGTTTCTTTTTTTCTTAGGTCAAGAAAGGTTTAGGGAAGGCAGGGAAAATACAGTCCAGGCAGTACAGTACCAGGCCATCCGAAGACTGTCTCCCAATCCACTCTCTAAACACTGGGAGGAGTGAGGAAGCAGACAGGCACCCTTTTCACTGGCCAACAGTTAACTGAAAGTTCACATTTTGCACTTTCCCTGCCTCCCACGTGGTTTTTTTCAGTTCTTAACTCAAATCTAAGTATGTAAGTCAAGTCAATATTTTCCTACGAGAGTGGTTCTTAAGTCAAAATGTTCTTAACTCAAGCCGTTCTTAAGTCAAGACCCCACTGTAAAGTCTAGGAGTTTGGTACAGTTACCCTGTTTCCCTGAAAATAAGACCTAACCTGAAAATCAGTCCTAATATGATTTTTCAGGATGCTCGTAATATAAACCCTACCCCCAAAATAAGCTCTATTTAAATGAAACCCTGCCCTCCACCATTGTGCTGCAACCAGAAGAAGATCATTACTGTATTTGAATAAATGTAGATTGTTGTACATGAAAAAATAAAATATCCCGTGAAAATAAGCCCTAATGTGGTTTTTGGAGCAAAAATTAATATAAGACCCTATCATGTTTGGGGAAACACGGTAGCAACAACAAGAAAAAAAATGTATTCGCGAAGGCTTTCATGGCCGGGATCTAATGGTTGTTGTGGGTTTTTTGGGCTTTTTGGCCGTGTTCTGAAGATTGTTCTTCCTAACGTTTCACCAGCCCCTGTGGCCAGCATCTAAAGAGGACAGCACTCTGTGCTCTGGTGTAGTTGGCTTGGGAGTGCAGTATTTATGGCTGTGAGATAGGTTTTTGTCTTTTTCTGTAGATGGGTGATTAGTGTGTCTTGTTGTGGGTGTATTGTTGTGCTAAGGAGAAGAGATTATCTGTCACTGTGGTTGATGGGTGTCATTAGCTGGTCTTTTGTGTGTAGTGATGGCCTGTCCTTGTGGCTGGGTAGAGTTCGTTGACCTTTTGCACGCTGTATTTTTGAGAGCTGGGAGCCAAGTTTTGTTGAGCTTCACACTTACCTCTTTTTTGTTGAAGTTCTGCTGGTGCCTGTAGATTTCAATGGCTTCCCTGTGCAGTCTGACATAATGATTGCTGGTGTAGCTTCGATGACACTGTCCAACCATCTCGTCCTCTGTCATCCCCTTCTCCTCTTGTCTTCACCCTTTCCCAAAATCAGGGCCTTTTCCAGGGAGTCTTTTCATAAGATAGCCAAATTATTGGAGCCTCAGCTTCAGGATCAGGCCTTCCCATGAGCACTCAGGGTTGATTTCCTTCAAAATGGATATGTTTGATCTCCTTGCAGTCCAGGGGACTCTCAAAAGTCTCCCCTAGCATCACAATTCAAAAGCATCAATTATTTGGCTGTCAGCCTTCTTTAGGGTCCAGCTCTCACTTCCATACATCGCTACAGGAAAAACCATAGCTTTGATTATGCAGACCTTTGTCGGCAAAGTGATGCCTCTGCTTTTTAAGATGCTGTTGAGGTTTGTCATCCTCCCAAGAAGCAGGTATCTTTTAATTTCGTGGCTGCTGTCACCATCTGCAGTGATCA